ATCATAGATAGTGTGAGCAATTGTATATCTTCCTTACTTGCCGATTCTGGAAGGTTATCCTTGACATCGAAAAATATTTCCTCTTCCTTTTCTGCGGCATGGATTTCTTTAACATGTCTAATGAGAGATGAGGGGTCAACCTCGTTTTCCTCATCAGAGATAGCCAGGGTATGACGAGAGGTGCATTGTCAATGCTTGGCTTCTTACTGGCAGGGGGCAACGACAGCTTGTTGTTGTCTATTAAGTTTTGGATGGCTTCCTTAAGCTTCCAACAATTTTCGGTGAGATGGCTCCTACCTTGGTGATACTTGCAGTGTGCATTGGGGTTCCAATTAGCCGACCTTTTCTCGACTGGTGAGTCCCCAAATGGTCCAATAGGAGTTATAAGACCTTTTTCATTCAATCGATCAAATGCGGTGTCATAACTCATGCCAATAGGAGTGAAGTTCCTCCTAAATGGTTTATTCTGTCCTTGATTGTTCATAGCAAGGACTTCTCCTAAATTAAAATTGCTAACGTTGTTTGAGTGGGCGGTTTTGGAAGAAGAAGGATTGTCGTTCTTCTTTCCTTTCCAGCCACTGTTGGAGTTATTGTTGGCAGCTTTTAACTTAGCCAAGTCGTCTTCAATATTGATCCCAATGTCATAAACGGCCTTGAAGGTATGGAGATTATTTTGATACTTGAGTTGCTTGGAATATTTTTCTTGAAGATTTTTTATGAACAGCCTCACAGATTCTTTTTCACTTGGCACCTCAATCATCTTAGCTGAGGTTTCCCTCCATTTGTTAAAGAAAGAGGTGAAGCCTTCATTCTCTTTCTGCTTGAGGATTTCAATTTCCCTATAGTCAGTCTCGACTTGAATGTTGCATTTGTACCTATCAACGAAAGTGTTTGCTATGGACTCCCAGGTAGAGGTCTTTTCTTTCTCGAGAGAAAAGAACCATTGTTGGCAAACGACCTCGAGAGATAGTGAGAACAGAGAGGGGAAAACCTTCTTATCGATACCCTTAATACTCATTATTGTTTCGAATGCTCTTAAATGAAAGTAAGGGTTATCAGTTGCTCTGAATTTTGGGATGTCGTTGGCATTGAACTTCTGCGGAAGAAGATCTTTGTCCACCGAGACCCCTTGTGATGTAAGTTCTTGAAACTTGTAGTCGTTAGACAACTTGCTTAGACTCCCTTGCATGAGGTCCACCTGTTGTTGCTTCACGGGATCATCGATCTTGAGTGCGAAAAGCTTCAGTGTCTCAGTCATGGTAACCAATTGGTTCCAAAGATCATTGACTTCTTCTTGTGTTGCCATTATAGTCTTAGCTTTCCTCTTACGAGCTATGGGTTTGTCGAAAAGTTGGACTTGTACGAAGAGGTTGTCTTTGATTAACCGTCCTTCCTTTCTTGACCACGCGCTGTAAGTTAAACTATTTTGCGTTTTAATTACTTGACTCGTATCAACTTGACTTTATGTTTTATTTTAAGGAGGAAAAAAAAGAATAAAGTAAAAAAGGGTGCATATTTTTGGCAAAAATAATGTACATATTTTTAGGGAACTAAGTATAGTTTTTTTTTTTTTATTTGAGGATTAATATCTGACTTACCCCCTATAAAAAATGACGGAAAGAAACGCGCACACAAGACTCTCTTAAACATGGTCAAAGTATGTGTATTGGTGTGTGCGTTGAGTGTAAGTGATATGCTTGGACTCTTGTGTAAGACCATGGGACTTAGTGCCTAAACTCGATCATCGACTCAAATAAGTACTATTGACGGCAAAACTTAACCGAATTAATATCCGAATTGTTGGCCAAACGACAGGACTGGCGTTGCACCGTGGAGCTTGGCGCCGGACGACAGAGCTGTCGTCAGGCGCTACACTCCATAGTGTGGCGCTACAGCTCAGACCTTGGCGCGAATATTGGAGCTTCGATCTGGGACTGTTTTCGGTGTTATTAGTCAATTGGGGTATGCCTAAAGTCGTACTAGGTCAATTCCGATTAAAATATTAGACTTTATTGACTCAAATTAATTAATTAATTAATTGATTAGGCAAAGTTCTTTAAGTCATTAATTTATTTAGTCTCAACACAAGTCAACAAATGGTTAAGAGAAACATAGAATATATGCACAACAAATAATGCACAATTAGTCAAGTAGGCACAATATGATGCAATGCGTTTGCAACCTAACCATGGTTCTAGTTCTCTAAAGTTCGGGATATGGGTTAGTCAATAGAGGGTCCATGGTTAATTGTCCGGATGCACCGCGCGGAAGCCTAACCGTGAAGGGTTGGCGCGAGTGGATGGGACACCGCGAGTTTATAAAAAACTCGCTTCCATGGTTTGGTGAATTCAACATCTCGGATGTACCCTTTGTTGCACGGAGCGTTCAATCGGGTAGATGGAGCATGAATCCCCAGAGGGTTATGTCCATATGTAGAACACATATGGGTTTCAGAAAAGTGAGAAAAAATTCAATCAGGAGGTACGATCGAGCAAACAATACGAAAAACTGGTCGAAATTAGAACGCATATTTCTAGCTCGGTATTGGGGGAAATTGGCGCCAGCAAACAGAGACTGGCGCAAGATTTTAACTATAGCGCCTGGCGCCAATACTGGCGTCTGGCGCTACGACTAAAATGCTGGCGCCAAGCTCTGGCCTCTGACGCTACTTCCCACATGCCTCAGCAGCTTTCTGTGCTCGATAAAATTTTCCAGTTTCGCGCGGTGTTATTTCGGTCCTAGTTGTGAAAGATATTTCTCAAATTTCCTACGTGGAAAATCCTATGTTTTTAACTCATCACGGATGGTCTTTCCAATGAGATCTTTTTTATGCAAATGACAATAATGTTAATCAAAATTACGCACATGAAATACTTAGAACTTTTCAAGTCTCATCCACTCATTCTAAATCATTGCCGAAACAAATTCAGGAATTAAAATAGAAATCCTTCCCAGTGGAGTCGCTAAAAACTGTAGGGAATATTTCAAGCATTAAACCCCTAGCATGAACTCCACTGTGATCATACAATAAAGTACGGTGGCGTCCAAAAGGGAAGAAGATAGAGCAAAAGAGTCGCCAACAAGTTTTAGGAACTTATAAACCGTTCATAGGATGAAGGTTACACCCCTTAACGATCCAAGAGATCGTCAACTCCATAAGGTCTAGAACCAAATAAGGGTTCGGGGATGAAGGTACAAATCCAACCTAAAAAAAATTGAACCTGCCCTAATAATAGGCCTCTACTTTATTCTGATCGTATTCATGTGCGCTTTTTAATTAACATGCAATCAATAGGATTAACCCTAAACCTGTTTATCTATATTGGTTGAATTTAATGCACAAACAAAACTATTATTGGCGATCACTTGAATTATAATCACATAACCCTAAACAAGATGATTAATTATCTTATTAAGTGTGATTACAATTACCAAATTCCATTTAAACATGCATAAAAGGCGTGATCAAGCAATAAAAATAAATATCAAGCAACATAATAAATAATCAATCATTAGAATAAACATGAATAATAATAATCATCATCAAAATAATAATAATAATAATAATAATAATAATAATAATAATAATAATAATAATAATAATATTCATAATCATCATAAATTATAACAATTATAATCATTATCATGTTCATGTTAATATTAAAGCATAATAAACATAGCAAGATCCTAGGTATGATACTAACAAGATTAATAACAAACCCTAGCATGTCACTAAGCAATAAAAATCAAATCTTTAACCCTAACATGATACTAACATTAGGAAGAGAATAGAAAGCATCATAGCAATCATATTTAATATTAAAAATACCCTAGACATGATATTAGGAATATCATAATAACAATATAAACATGATTTCTACATCATAATATCAATAAAAATCATCAAAGTACTTACTTTGATGCCTCGTACCTCTTTCTAATAACAAAATACACACGTTAGTAACTTCGAATATTAAACCTTTCACGTCTAGGGCGAAGGCAACTTCGAATATGGCTAGGTGTTTCTAGATCTAATGAATGCGAAATTTTGTATGCAAAAGTTTAGTTTAGAAAAAGAGAGACAGAGATGAATGAGAATTATTGATTGCGAATGAAAAACTGATTGTAGGTGATTATAATTGAAAACTGGTTGTTGATGATAACTGGTGATAATTGGTCCATCAAAACGGAGTTTTTAATACGTTATTTATAGAGAAAATCAGCCAAAAAGATAAAATAAACAAAACAAAGTCTGACGCACAAAAAACAGAGCTGGCGCAAACCCTGACTAACTAGCGCCAGGCACCAACACTAGCGCCACGCGCCAATGGTTTGCGCCAGGCGCCAGGCATGGTTCTAGGCGCCAATGCCTGGAGTCAGGCGCCAAGCCTGTTTTAACGCGTTTTCGAAAATCAGATAAGTTTGACGTACTGGAGAATAAAATTATATAATTTCCTTGAAAATGCTATTTGATTTTAATTAAAACTTTAAAAAGTCAACAAAAGTCAATTTATCAATGCTAATTGAATTAGGAATGAAAAGAACCTTCTAGAAGAATCTAGAAGACTAAAACCATTCCTAATTGCATTAGGAATAATAAATCATATTAGGCCCTCCCCTAGATCATTGGGCCGCACATAAGGCTCAAACCGGGCCCAGTTTAGTAAATTGACCATAATTTCCTCAATATTCATCGGAATTGGGCTTATAATATATCGTTGGAAAGCTCTTGTCAAGCCTCATCCAACTACACTATTATTGGACCCATATCATGGACCAACCGAAATGGATTGGCTGTTTTCTTAAAATAAGTTTTTCAAAAACAGAGAGAAAAGAAAAGAAATTAAAAATATCCGCAACACTAGACTTTCCACACTTTCACTTCATTCGATTATGATTCGACGTGAAAGGTACTCATCACCGGTTTGGTTTTGGGGAGACACAAATGGTTGTCTACATATGTCAATGCTTTAATTGTGGCCAATGAGTTGTGTGAGGATATGAGAAGATTAAACCTTGAGGTTGTTAATCAAGGAGAGTTAGAGGGGTTGCTAAGTGCCTTGAAAATCCAACCATCCATATTTGAGGAGATTATAGTGAAGCAGTCGGAAGATGAGTCATTGCAGAAAATCAGAGATCGAATGACTAATGGTGTAGAGACTGAATTCAAGATTCATGAAGACGGGAGTCTGCGATTCAAGGAGAGATGGTGCATACCACAGAAGTGCAAAGACATAAAAATAAAAATCATGAAGGAGCGCCATAATACACCATATTCAGCTCACCCTGGGGGAGATAAGTTGTATAAGGATCTGAAAGAGTTCTATTGGTGGCCTAATATGAAGAGAGAGGTTGCTGAGTTTGTATCAAAGTTTCTGACGTGCCAGAAGGTGAAAATAGACCACAAAAGATCCATGGGAAAGGTGCAACCATTAGAAATATACCAGGTTGGAAGTGGGATTCCATATCCATGGACTTTGTAACAGGCTTACCAAAGACTCGTACTTGGAATGACATGATTTGGGTGATTGTAGACAGACTTACTAAGTCAGCAATGTTCATTCCTATCAAAGAGACCTGGAAAAAGAAGCATCTAGTAAGTGTCTATGTGAAGAATTTAGTTCGGTTGCACGGAGTTCCAAAGGACATAGTGTCAGATAGAGACTCGAGGTTTCTATCAAAGTTTTGGCAAAAAGTGCAAGAGAACCTTGGAACAGCATTGAAGATGAGTTCTGCCTTCCACCCTGAAACAAATGGTCAGACTGAGAGAACAAACCAAACCATGGAAGATATGTTACGAGCTTGTGCTTTAGACTTCCAAGGGAATTGGGAGGATCACATACCTTTGATCGAATTCTCCTATAATAACATTTAAAATGCAAGCATCAAGATGGCACCATTTGAAGCATTGTATGGAAGAAAGTGTAGAAGCCTAGTTCGCTGGAATGACTACAGTGAACGAATAACCTTGGGAACAGATGTCATTGAGGATATGGTGAGCAAGGTAAGACTAATCTAGTCGCGAATTAAGGCAGCACAAGATAGACGGAAGAGTAATGCCGACTTGAAGAGGAGGGATGATGAGTTTAGTGTTGGGGACAAGGTATTTCTAAAGGTTTCTCGAACAAAAGGTGTGATGCGATTTGGAAAGAAAGGGAAGCTTAGTGCAAAATATGTGGGTCTGTATGAAATTCTCCAACGTGTGGGGAAAGTGGCTTACAAATTGGCTTTGTCAATGGAGTTCAAGAAAATGCATGATGTGTTCCACATTTCCCAATTGAAGAAGTATGTGCCTAGTGAAACCCATGTTTTGCAGCCGGAGACTATTCAACTAGATGAGTCTCTAACTTATGAAGAAAGACCGGTCAAGATACTAGATCACAAGGTGCGTAGTACTAGAACCAAAGATGTGAAGTTAGTGAAAGTCCTTTGGTCGAACCAAGAGTACGAAGAGGCTACTTGGGAGGCCGAGGAATAGATGAGAAACAGGTATCCCGAGTTGTTTGACGAGGTGAGTTACGAGGGAGTAACTCTTTTCTTTTGAGGGGGGTAGAATGCGATGTAATTTCGCGCTTTTACCTCAACTATACCATTTATTGCTTGAATTTTCATGTTTTTTGTTAGCATTATGCACTATTATTGCGTTTACATACAATAAAAGTATGTAAACTCTGGCCAAGTATGAGTTCATTGAGTACAAAGTTCAGTTTGTTGAGTATACTTGTTAAGGAGCAAGCAATTTACAACAATACAAAACATAAAAGTTTGAACAATTTTGGGAGAAATTGTGATTTTTGGGTTAAGTTTCGAGGGAAAAACTTCTTTTAAGAGGGGTAGATTGTAATCCCCCATATTTTTCTAATACAATTATTTTTTATTTTTACAATATTTTAATTTTAATTTTATAGATGAATTATTTTGGTATAAAAGTAATAAGATTTTATTATTAGTAAGCTAAACTATTAAGTTTTAATTTAAATCATAAGTCTTTTTAAATTAGTAGCTCAATGCTTAAATTCTATTCAAGCCCAAACCAAACAATTCTTACACCTCTCTTCCTCTCTTTCACGTGAAATTGGAAAAAAAACAAACAAAACCCTCACTTCTTCTTCCTCCCATTCACGTACTACTCACAAAATAAAAAAAAAGGTAAAGCCTTGAAGTGCGCAGCATCACCGACCACAGCCACCGCCGCGCCGCCCCTGCACCGTCGTTCTCCAGCCACCACCGGCAGCCCAGTTCGCCCCCTCCTCTCTTCTCCTTCTTCCTCTTGTTTTCTCTTCTTTTATTTTGTTATTTTGATGAAAAGCTTCAATTTTTATTTGATTTAAATTCTAAATTATTGTTATTAGGCTTTGATAGTATGTTTAATTTATAAAAGATTATAAATTTATGAGTTTTAGCATGTTTAAATTATTTTATAAAATTTCAGATTATATATGTTGTATAATTTAGGGTTTAAACATTGTTTTTTTTTCATGTGTAGGGCTTGAAAATGTACTAATCAAGTTATCTCATTATATTATGTTTAAATTTTGTTAAAGTATAATTATTTTGATCATATATAAATTTTCAGATTATTAAAGTTTCGATTTTTATGAGCAAGTTATGTTAATTTCATGCTTTATGCTTCTAAGCCTACAAAATAATTATTGTGGGTATTTTATGATTAAAAAGCTTTGAAATTTAAATTCTAACCTTAAAAATAATTTTAGATTTCATACTTTTTATTTTGAAGCCTCTAATTACATTGAATTGATATATTTTTGGGTTTTTAACACACTAACTTGCTATATAATGATTATTTCAAGTAATTATGCTTATGGGATTATTTTATATACTTAAAACAAATTTTCAGGTTTATTTACTTACTTTAAATTTGCTGTAATTTGATATTAAACACTATATTTTCATAATTTTAACATATTAACTTATAATTGGGATGTTATATTATTAACTTTGACTATTGGGGACAATTTAAAGGCTTTATTTTGATGATTTAAGAGGTTTTAAAGTAGTTTAGTATTGCTGTAAATTTATTTGCTTGAGTATTGATTTATTTCTCATTGTTTGGTTTAGGAAAGGATTTTGTAAAAGGCGACTTCTAGTTTTAAAGTGGCCAACCGAATTGTTTACACAAGGTACGTACAAGTTACATAACCTTGCTTGTAGGTGAATGTTTAAGGACGGATCGAGAACTTAGTATCATGTATAGGATTGACAGGGTTAAATTATTTGGTTATACATTGTGAATTTCAAATGATGTGCACTATTTTATATTGCAAGTATTATTTGTGCTCTAATTATGCAAGGTGCGCTTAGAGGCAAAGGTATGTGGTTGGTGTAAAGATTAATTTATTACTCATTCATGATTATGCAAACAGGATGAGTAAAGGAAGAATTAAAGTCTTATAAGACGAGGTTAAGGTTTTGGGGTGCCTTATGCACTCAAGGTGTTTATACACCGAGGTAGTAAAGGAATAAATAATAAATGTTGTTGTCACTAATAAATCAAGAATTTAAATTGGAAACTTGACTTGTTTGATTTAATTGTATTTGGAATGTTTGTATTGTAATGCATATGAGTTATCACTAAGTCTAAACTTGTAAAACACGTAAAGTGCAAGATGGATGAGCAATAAAACTCTGGATTGGTGCACGTCTGGAGTAATGACAATCAGGGGTTGGGGTACATGGGGTATTAGTCGTGTACTTTTATCGAGGCCGTCTGATCTACGAGTCTCCTATTTCAAATATTTTTTTTAAAAACTAGGAGTTAGGTGAGATCTCATACTAACTACGGTCACAGATTCGCACCCGTGGTCGTTGGATGTTTATTGAAGTTTCCGAAAGGAGGCATGGGGTTTTTCTTTTATTGATGTTCCAAATGGAACATGGGTTGGACAACCTTGTCTATTGCTAAATCCAATGAAATAAATAAATGAGTTAGTTAATATTAACTAGTGAGGTCTTAATAAATTTGATAATTGAGTCATGTGTTGAGTCTGTATTTAATGATGCTTATGCTTGATTATTAGTAGCATGTTAGGTATTTTCTTAATTTATTTCGCAGCTTGTATGTACTCAGCTTTGCTGATTGCGTGCTTTTCTGTGTGTCTTTCTTTGGTCATGGCCTTCATCTTTCAATGACCCTGTGACGATCCAATTTTTACACTTGTAATATTGGGGAGCAGATTAACCACAGGTTCTTACACATGCTGCATCTATATCTAGATGGTGGGATCTTGAGTAAAGAGTTGGTTGCTTTTCTTATTTTATTTACTATTTACAATTAAAGTTATTTAAACTCAATTTTGCTTTCATACTATTTCTATTGGTTTCAGTTTTGAATAAGGGCGTTAAGGGTTCCAAGTTGTATGATTTAATTTGGTTTTGGTTACTGGTTTTGAAACTTATATATATTTATTTTAGTTTTTTCGCTGCTATTTTCTGTAAAAGCCTTAACGTTTGAACACGTGGCGGTAGCACGCCAGTAATTCTCTTGGAATTGTTCAGGTTATTCACAGGTTTTTAAGAGAGAATTATTGGGGTGTTACAGAGACTAAAAGCTTTCCAAAGTAAGAGCTCGTGTTGTGATGAAGCACGCGTCAAAGGTATTAATCTTTTCTTAATTCTTATTGTTTAAGTTAATTATGTCTTGTGATTATATTAGTTGTAAGTGTGGTCTTAGCTCGGGTTTTCTTCCACAATGAGATGGACCCATCGAAACCCAACACATAGTGTCGTTATATCATGGTCAGGCTAAAAGTTTTGCTTTATACATTAGTTATATATGATATGATGTTTAGAATTCTAATGTTATCCCAGTTTTGTGTCAAAAAAAATGTTATCCCAGTTCAAGCAAATATATATAGCTAAACTTTTAGTCAGGTCACGAGATTACGACACTTGACATTCTAACTTTTTGCCAAATGTCGCGTCACGTTGGATAGATTTAAATAGACGATAAAAAAGTGAGTTTAGAATTCTATTTGGATAGAATGTTAGGATAAAATTGTTAGTTTAGAATTTTATTATCGACAAAATACCAATATTTCAGATGTACAAATTGAATTACAATTTATTCAAAAAAAATTATTAGATTATAATTCTCAAAAATTATCATATAAATTTAGTTTTAATATCATAGTATTTTTCGGAGCGAAAGAAGTAGTTCAAAGCGTAAAACATCCATTTACAATATATACTAATCGGTTAAAATTATATACTTCACAATCTAATAAAGTGGAGTCCTGTAAATTAGGGTTGGGTCATGAATCATCTTAGGTTGGATCACTTCAGGTTACGAGTCAAGAAATGTTCATCCCTTGTCCAAAGTTCTGGGTTCGGGTCAATCCGGGTGCTTTGAACATTTATTTTATCTAGTTTATTTTTATTTTTTTTTAATGTATTAAATCGAATATTTTCACCAAAATTATTATTAGTCATTACATGCATGACATATTTTAAAATTTGACATATAGATTATAAATTTATCTCAAAATTCAATAAATAACCCGGACATCGCACGGAAAGAAAACTAGTATATATATAACTTTTCTTATGGGTATCTTAACTTCTCTATTATTAATGATTATTATTTAACATCTAACTTACATATGTAGATATGTGCCACGTGGAACCCTTCACATGAGGTTCTATAAATGGAGGGTTGAGAGAGATTTCAAAGTATCTCGTGAGGGTAGGTTGGTCATTTCATGCGGAATTTAAATTTTGCCATTTTAGATTCAGCGGTACAAAATACACTCTCAGTGGTACAAAATATAATTTTAGTGGTATTTAAAAAAGGTTCAAATGTCTGATTAGGCTGTCAAATAATACCATTACATCTCAGTGGTACAAAATACACTCCCAGTGTTACTCAATGCGGTTTTAATGGTACTTATAAAAATCTTCAGTGGTACAAAGTATACTCTCAATAGTTGTGGTCCCAATTTTTTTTGTCGTTTTTGCAGGTGAAACCATTTCTGACTCCAAAGGTGGGCCTCACCTCACCTTGTTTTTTCACTCTATCTATATCTCTCTTCCTTTCTCTCTCTTCCTAGTATATTTGCTATATTATTTTATGTCGTGAGACATTTTATTTTGTCTCACAACCCTTGAAATGTACTTCCTCCCCTTCACATGTATTAGAAATTAGAAATATGCTACATCACCGTAATATGCCACATCTATTATACTATGAACTTGTTTCAATTACAATAAAAATGTTTATCACAAGGTTTGAACTCAAGATTAATAATAAATGAAATAATCTTATTACCAACTTTGCTATACGTTTTCATTATGGTTCACATTCTATTATAATACACTAAATACTTTAATTTGTACATGATATTGATTTGAGTGCGTTTATTTAATTTCATTAGTTATTATTGTCTACTTAATTTTTTTTTATTTTTGGTAATTATATAGTTATGATTTTATAGTCCAAATAATATATATTGATATTCAAACAAAATCCAGTGAATCGTCTAGAGCCACACACTAGTTTAAAGATTAAAAAGTACTCCGTATTAAGAAGGAACAATAAATAAAGGTAGGATACAAAGAGGGTAGAAAAGTAGGAATACTTGTGAATAGGTATGAATACACTAGTTCACTCAGGATCAATTACTAGTCGCCTAGCTTCAATTATTGCTTGGGTCATTCAATTTCGAGAAATCATTTGGAGTAACACCACGAATCAAGTTAGCTCTTATTCCAAAAGGTAACTGTTGATTCAGCAAAATCTGATCACACAAAACAAACAGTGGATTGTACATGGAGGATAAGTGGGACCAAATCATATCATACTCTCATTAGCAGCCTTACAATTCCCCACAAACTATGTACTCACATTCTAATATCACCCCAAATATCCTTTCAAATTCCTTGAATTTCATAATCATCTATTAACCTTTCAAGAAAAAAAAAAAAAAAAAAAAAAAAAGCATAGGAAGAATAATGCCAATGGCAGCAATAGGACCAACAACAACACCAGTCAAATTGCGTACCTCTATCTTTAATCCTCATTTATCTAGTCTTTCTCCATCTCAACAATGCATAAATTTTACCAAGTCGCTTGATTCGTTTCCTACTGCGGGCAATAGGAAACATTTAGCAGCCGGAGTTAGGTGTGCAGCTGTAGGAACAGCTGCCGAGGCTGCAGAAACAAAGCCTAGGACTAAGAGTAAATTTGAGATTCAGACACTAACTGGTTGGCTGCTTAAGCAGGAACAAGCAGGGGTTATTGATGCAGAGCTTACTATTGTACTGTCTAGCATCTCCATGGCTTGTAAACAAATTGCTTCGTTGGTTCAACGCGCTGGTATTTCTAACCTTACTGGAATTCAAGGGGCTGTTAATGTCCAAGGAGAGGATCAGAAGAAACTTGATGTTGTCTCCAATGAGGTATGATCATTGATTTTATTGTAGTCAGTTAAACATTCTTCTTCGTCTTTTTCTTGAACGCCTTAATCCCATAAGTGAGGTTACTACATGAACAAACATATGGTCACTCATCCTAGTACTACTCTCATTCATTGTGACTCGAATCAAGCAATGTGACAGATGTTTACACCGGCTATCACTGGCCTACCAAAAGTCAGTTTTAACATTTTTCTTCATCTTTTGCTTGAACGCCTTAATCTGATAAGTAAGGCCAGCTACATAAACAAACATAAGGTCACTCATGCTAAAGCTACTCACAGTCATTGTGACTCATCTCAAGCAATGTGACAAATTTTATACCGGTTGTCATTGGTCTATCAGAAGTCGGTTTTAACATTGTCACATGAAAATATACCAAAATGGCTAATTTGACAAAAGTATTTACCAAAACGGCTAGTTATAAAATTTAATTCCCAAACTAGCTAAAGTTATTGATTTGAAAGGATATTATTTATTTACCAAAACGGTTAATTACTTTATGTTTTTTTTTTGGTTGTATTTAAAAAGAATTAGTTTTTTTTTTTAATTTTTGGTTTTATTTAAATTCTAATGCCATAGTTTAAAATATTCCATTAATTTGAACCATAAAAATCAAAATAATATATACAAAGTATGCAGCAATTCTAAATTTTTGTAAAAAGTTACACAACATAAACAAAACAACTACTCAAAAAAATGATCCAAACTTCCGATCAACAAAAGAAAAAAAAATACAACTATTTTTTTAACACATAAAGATAGAAATAAATATGCTACGTATGTAAGTTGGATTTATCATACACATTAAACAAAAAAAAAATATTCATACTAGCCGACATTAACTAAGAGTATACAATTAATAGACATGAAAAAGATGAACAATACCTTAAAATCTCTTATCGTCGTATAAATTTGCAGTAGCCTTTTTTTTTTTTTTGAAGACAAATTTGCAGTAGTCTTGATAGAACAATACTACTTGAAATTCCAAATTTTTGTGATTGATATGATCAAGATGAAAAATTAGTGCTTTTATTTTTTTTTTTTTATCGAAATTAGGGTTTTGCGAGTCTACAACTGCTTACGTTCTTCGTAGTTTTGTGTATTGCTTAAATTTTCCAGCTTAAAAAAATCTTAAAGTAAATAAAAATAAAACCAAAAAAAAAACAAAGTTAAAAAAAAAAAAAAAAAAAAAAAAAAAAAAAAAAAGTGAACCAAACCGGTTCAAAGGAAATAAGAAATAGATAAATTCCTTCCAAGTTAATAAATTAGCTAGTTTGGGAATTAAGATTTATAATTAGACGTTTTGGTAAATACTTTTGTCAAACTAGCAGTTTTGGTAAAAGATCCAGAAATCTAACATAATATAAAGTTGGTTTACTGTTGGATTACATTCGAATAATGATGAATGACCCAGATTGATACTCATATTCAATAATACAGAGAAGATAAGAAGAGCATATCTATTACTAATGAAAATTTCAAAGCACAATGTTGTATCTGAAAATGTGAAGGCTGTAAATATTAATTTAGAATGACGAGCGTTTATGCAAAAGTTAACTACAAAGATAAATATCCAACAGGTGTTTTCAAACTGCTTGAGATCAAGTGGGAGGACAGGGATAATTGCATCAGAAGAAGAGGATGTACCAGTGGCAGTCGAAGAGAGCTATTCCGGAAACTATATTGTTGTGTTTGATCCACTTGATGGATCATCCAACATCGATGCAGCTGTCTCAACTGGTTCCATCTTCGGAATTTATAGCCCAAATGATGAGTGCATTGTCGACTCTGACAATGAAGATGAGGTAACTCTCATTATTCTTTATCTGAGTCTCTTATTAGCCAAAATAAAACGAGAGTTCCTAATAACTATTGTTTAAATTGCTGTTGGAAACATTTCTACAATCTTATGTGCTGATTCCTGAGGAAAAAAATATAACCATATATAAAGAGATGTCTTTGATAGAATTAACAAAGAAAAGTTTAAATTCATGTAACTCAAACATAATTTTATATCTCAGTTTTGTAGCATCATCACTTCAAAGCCACTCGAATTTCATCATTTTACAAAAAATTATTGTAGTTCCATAGATTGTGATAATAGACCGAAAACATATAGAAGACAGAATTTTGTAGACGTTACGGGAGAACAAAAACTATGTCTAATATTTGATGCTAAGGTACAGGCACCAAAATTTTATTTTATGACAAACATATCCTACGTTTTTTTTTTTTTTTTTCTAAATAATGGTTAAAAGAGGGAAAAGCTAATAAAAGCTGTCAGGTAAAAAATACATTAAAAAGACATTTCTTAAGTATGTTTAATTATAGTTTAAACAATATTTGCAGCTAAGCGCCGAAGAACAGAGGTGTGTGGTGAATGTTTGTCAGCCAGGGGATAACCTATTAGCAGCAGGGTATTGTATGTATTCCAGCTCTGTAATCTTTGTACTTACCATTGGAAAAGGGGTGTATGCATTCACATTAGATCCCATGTATGGCGAATTTGTCCTCACTCAAGAAGACATCAAGATACCTAAAGCAGGGAAAATCTATTCATTCAATGAAGGTAACTACAAAATGTGGGATGACAAATTGAAGAAGTACATGGATGACCTTAAAGACCCTGGATCGTCTGGAAAGCCGTACTCGGCTCGTTACATCGGAAGTTTGGTCGGGGACTTTCATCGAACACTTCTATATGGTGGCATTTATGGGTACCCAAGAGATTCTAAGAGCAAAAACGGGAAGTTGAGGCTCTTGTACGAATGTGCACCCATGAGCTTTATAGTAGAACAGGCTGGTGGAAAAGGATCTGATGGCCATAATAGAATTCTCGACATTCAACCTACAGAGGTAAGTTCAATCATCATAATATACTCAATATGATCAAATTTTAGGATGTCCCATATGTTAACATTGTTGATAGAGGGGCAATGGTAAATCCACCAAAAAAACGATGGGAGGTACGAAATTAACACATTTAAAAAATTAAATCAATAAATTATAATCTTTTTTTTTTTTTCTTTTTTCTTTTTTTTTTTTTTACAAATAAAATTATACATATTATTTATTGATGTTAACCATCTATTAGCCATTTAAAGTTGACTTTATTTTTGCTAAACTAATATTATTTTTACTAAAATTAAAAATATTTCTGCAAAACATAAATAATATACTTCCTCCATATTTTTATTATTGCACCATAGGGGTTGGATACAAATATTTTGGTAGTGGAAAAAAAGTAAGAGAGAGAAAGGTAAAAATACAAAATTGCCCATGTGACATATTGATAAATTAAAAAGTAAGTGTGAAAAAGTAAGGGTATGTTGGGTATTTGTAGTGTGAACACAAATATTTTTTTTCTAAAGAGAAAATGGTGCAATATTTGTGAAACATCCTAAAAAGGCAAGTGATGCAATAATAAAAGAACGGAGGAAGTATATATATAAGGGAGGGATTCGGTGGGAATAAGTTCATATGTAAGAATTCATACTTATATGAGAACTGGTCTATAATTTAGAACACGTGAGTAAAAATTTAGAACATACGAGTAAAAATTTAGAACATGCGACTCAAATTTAAATTTAGAACATATGACTAATAATTGAGGGATACCCAGACAATTCCCCAGATAAACAAAATTTGTTCATCTGGGGGTATAATTGTCTTTTCAAGTACCAGTTGAGGGGTATATGTGTCTTTTCATGTACTAGTTGAAAGGTACATGTTTAATTTCCTCACCAAATAGTAAAAGCAAAAAACAAACAGTAATTGGACAACTCACCAAAAAGTACTGAATAAATGACTCTGCTTTTTCAATATATTTACAAAAATGCCATCATTGTTTATCTTGCATGATCACCACCTTTAATGGACTAACTTGTATTTTCCCCTAATAATTTAAAAAATATGACTAATAATTTTGAAAATGTGTGTGAGCAATAATTTAGAACAGCTTATTCAAGAATTAGAACATGAGAGTAAAAATTTTAAAAAATTGCTTCATGAAATTTAGAACATATGATTAAAATTTAGAACATCTGATTTTAAATTTAGAATGTGTGAATAAAATATTTAGATTACTTGGTATAAAATATAGAAAATGGGAGTAAAAATATTGAACATATATAAGTAAAAATATAGAACATGTGAGTCAAAATTGGAGCATATACTTTCGAATTTAGAACATATAACTAAAAACCTTAGAACACACGCACGTTTTAAAATTTAAAATATATAAGTTAAAATTTCGAAATAAGTCATTCAAAATTTATAATATCTAACTTAACTAATTTATGGTTTAGAACATGTCATTACTAATTTAGAACATCTGATTTAATTTAGAACACCTGGAAAAAAATATAGAACATCAAATTTAAATTTTAGAACATACGAGTAAAATTTAGAACATAAAAAGTGTTCTCACATAAGAAAAATTTTCACATAAGAAAATTCTCACGAGAGCCTCCCCATATATATATATATATATATATATATATAGGAATGTATGAAATGAGGCATACTACTTTTTTGAATCAGTAATTGAAATATAAAAATAATTAAAATATATACTCTATCTGTTTTTAAGTGTTATTTTTTTACAAGCACATAATTTTAGGCAATTTAACTAAAATAAATAAAAGGTAAGTGGAGTAATTGTAGTATTAAAAAATTGTAAAATAAAAATAGGGAGATTGTTAGTAAATTGAAAAGCAACAAATGAAAGGAAAGAAATACTTCCTCCGTCTCACATTATTGCAAGTGCAACAATTGATTTTCTTATATCTCACAAAAAATACCCAGCTATTGAATATAATATGAAACACAAATAGTAATAAAAGTAGTAGTAGGTTAGGAGATATATATAATATTAAAATGTACTCCCTCTGTTTCACTTTGTTAGTCTCCTTTGTAGGAATGGCAACGGATCGGATTCGGGTCGGATGTAGCTAAATCCGAATCCGATCCGTTTAGTAAACGGGCCCTGGACTCGGATCCGTATCCGAGTCTGAATCCGAAAAATCCGAGTCCGAATCCGATCCAACTCGTATTTTTCGGATCCAAATCCGCTCCGTCTATACGGACCTCCGAAATGATCCGAATCTTTTTTTTTTTTTTTTTTTTTGTAATGTCATATACCTATAATTGTTTGTATTGACATATCAAGTAAAGTATAAACATAACATATTTAAATTATGAACTTAGTTACATAACAAAATTTTGATACAAACACAAGCAAACAATTGTCCCAAGTTATAAAGCATATGCTAATACTCTCGGATTCGGACTCGGATCAACCTCCATCGGACTTTGCGTAGGGTCCAAGTCCGATCCGTCTCCTATTCGGATTCAGATCTATCTTATTGGATTTGGATTTGGATTCGGACTAATTTTAAACAGATTTGGATCGGACTTTTTCCTTCGGATCGGAACGGATTCGAATCGAACTCGGATTAAATTGCCATCCCTACTCCTTTGTAATCAATCACTTAAAATAAAAAAATGATAAATCTTAATGATCTGGAATTTGATTGCATCTTTGTAATTAATGTTTTGTCTTTACCAGTTTTTTTTTTTATTATTTATGAGAATTGGCTGTAATCAAATTGCCTTAAATAAATCTTGATTTAGTTTGGAAGAAGTTTTCATGTCAACAATATATCCACTAGCACATATATTAACCAATTAGAATTATATGACTCTTTAAACACTCAATTAGATTAACTGTTCACAAATTATAAAAATTATATTCCCTATTGATTTCTAGGAATATTATTCATATGGGTGTATCGTATTGAAACACCCAAAACAGTATATGACAGTAACAAAGTAAAACAGAGGGAGTAGCTTTTTGCTAAAAAGGTAAGTGTGACCCTTAAAAAAACTTGGCCATATTTGTAAGGAAAAATTTGCAAATTGCAGTCATTTAAATTTTTTTTTTGCAAATTGCAGCCCAAAAGTTCGTATAAATTGTAAATGGCAGCCTGATTCAACTTTTACATGTCGAGAAAATCTTCGGTTAAGGTTTTAGGGGTCATTTTTAGCTCTTAAAGATCCAAATTGAGCTCAAAATTAGCAAAAAAATAACGTAAGTGCCTCATTTTGCGTAACAAAAATATATTGATTTGTGGGAAACTGTAAAAACGAGACACTTACATTAATTTTTTGCTAATTCCGAGCTCAATTCGATTCCTTAAGGGCTAAAATGGTCCCTAAAACCTTAAACGATGATTTTTCAACATGTAAACCGATGAAAAAGTTGAATTGGGCTGCAATTTACAATTTATACGAACCTTTGGGCTGCAATTTGCAAAAAAATAAAAATTTAAATGGTTGCAATTTGCAAAATACGAACTTTAAATGGCTGTAATTTGCAAATTTTCCATTTGTAAGTGTAATACTAAAAATAAACACCAAGGGAGTAGATGCACATACTAAGTTTAAAACTAATCATTCAAAAACTCTTATTTTGAATATATTAAGGTACTATAATATACATATAGTATAAATGAAGTAAAATAATTAATATTTGATAGTAGTGCTATACTATTAACTAGATAATACTCGAGCCATGCATTCTTTTTAAAATTATTGATACTTGAAGTACAGAAGTTTCTAGATAAATACGAGTATAACACAATAATCAATGATAATAATAGCATTCAAAACAATTATATTAATCAATAAAAAAATATTGAATTTTTTAAGTAAATTAATGACAAAAAAATATAAAAAAATCCTATTTAGTATTTGTAATAGATAATTTATAAAATATAATATAGTAGTCTAAGGTTAAAACAAAGATAAAAATATGATGTCAGCAATTGATTTAGGTGGGAAATTTTTTTTAATCATAACTGGACATATGTAAAATTTGAAGAAGAAATGATGTTAGTGGTTGTTATTTTAGTAAAATTTATGGACAATCTATGAGCGACGTTGGACTTTGCACATATAGAAAAAAAATAAATTAATTGCATTATGATTTAATTTTTTAATTGTCACAATACCAATCACATGAGAGTTATTTACCCCTAATAGTTTCATAGAAACTAAATCTCTAAAAACGCAAAATAATTGGAAAAAAAAAAATTGAAATAAAGAAATTAAATTATGAATTTTTTGTACTTAGTAATATGAAGAAAAAATATTCAATTATGAAAATTGATAATTACTCTATACTAATTTTTTAAAGTCGTTGTCATTTATAGTAAAAAGAAGAAATTTAGGTTGAGAAATTACTTTAGGAGTTATCCATTCTTGATATTTAGAGTCTTATTTTCATTATGAAAAAACAAAGCAAAAACAGTATAATAAAAAAGAGGGTTAGGAGGAATGGGGTAATTGGATTGGAAAATTTCCAAAAGCGGTTTCTATTTAAGTATGTTTTATAAATGAAAAAATTGCCAGGAATAATCCCACGTTTGGGTCATCCGCTAAAAATAATCCCACCTTTGGATTATTTTTAATAATATGACTTTAAACAACAATCTTCTTTAAATGGTCACAATCGGTCAATTAACATTGTTATAGCATATTACTTGACACGTGTTGGAACTTGATTGGCCTAAAAAAATAAAAATAAAAAAGTTAAAAAAGAACAACCTCCCTACTGTACCGACCACCACTGCCATCGTAGCCGGCTGTGCTGACCTCCATAGTTCCTCGAATCCGCCTCACTAACCTTCCCCGTCACCCGATGTCGACCTCGCTCACCACCCGTGCCCTTGATTCTAGACTCGCTGGCGTGTCCTCCCCTATCTCGCGTCTTCCGATTCCAGCCGTCGTGCCAAAATCCCCCGTCCTCCAATTCCGGCTGCTTTGACCTCCCTTGCCCCCGGTTCCGTCCGCATCAAACTCCCCAATCGTTTCCAGAGATTTGGTTTGGTGGTTTTCAAATGGTCTTGGGTTAATGGGGTATTGATTTTTTGAAGGGGGCTTTGAGGTTGGGTTGGCTAAGGTGGGATTCCGATCAACGTGGTCAAGTGGCGGTGGTTTCGGGTCTGGGTAGGATGGTGGTTCCAAGTTTGGGTTTGGTTGGTGGTGGTGGGGATGGTGGTGTGGCTGAAGTGTGGTGCTTGTGTTTTTTCCTTTTTATTTTTATTTTTCTTTTTATTAGTTTTTCTTTTATTTTTTTAATTTTTTATTTCCAATCAAGAGGTCATGTGTAAATTAATTTTTTGTTTTAAATAAACCTGCTCAACCGGTTACAAGTCATCTGGCACCAATTAAAGAAGATTTGCATTAAAGGTCGGATCATTAAAAGATAATCCAAATGTGAGATTATTTTTGCGGATGGCCCAAAGGTGGGATTATTATGGGCAATTTTTTCCTTTTATAATTAAATACCTACAAGTATTAGTATGAACAAAACCTTTTGCATGCACCTGGTTTACAATAATTTTATTGTACATCAAACATTTTACGAAAAGTGACCCTTTTTTCTTATAAAAGTGACCCTTTTTTTTTTACGAAAGTGACCCATATTTTCACAAAAGTGACCTTTTTTTTCACAAAAGTGAATCTTTTTTTTTTTTTTTTTTTTTACAAAATACCTACAAGTATTATTATGGGCAATTTTTTCCTTTTATAATTAAATACCTACAAGTATTAGTATGAACAAAACCTTTTGCATGCACCTGGTTTACAATAATTTTATTGTACATCAAACATTTTACGAAAAGTGACCCTTTTTTCTTATAAAAGTGACCCTTTTTTTTTACGAAAGTGACCCATATTTTCACAAAAGTGACCTTTTTTTTCACAAAAGTGAATCTTTTTTTTTTTTTTTTTTTTTACAAAAGTGACCCTTTTTTTTTCACAAAAGTGACCTTTTTTTCCACAAAAACGGAGTATCGAAATCAAAAAGTTATCATTTTCTTCTACAATTAGCAAGTATTTTCCTCCATTTTCTCTCTCCTTTAATGGCGAAATCAATTATAGTCTGCCCTAACCACCTTCTTCCCAACAATACAATTCAATACAATTATCCTCCATCATAGGAGTATTCACTTTCCTCAAAATTCAACCATTTTTCTTCTACAATTAGCAACTACAATACTTCTCCCTTTACTTTCCTCCATTTTCTCTCTCCTTCAATCCTTCAATGGCGAAATCGATGAAGCATGAGAACAACAACCCCTTCGACCTCCTCAACGAAGTACTCCTCTTCATAATCCTCGATCATCTCTCCATTGACGACCACCTCGCTGTTAAATCATTTTCTCTCTCCTCAAAATCATTTTTTTCTGTGATGAAGTTGCCCAGCCCTGCCCAGCCCGATTTACACTAATTTAGTGTAAACCAGGTGTTATTAAGAGTTTGTGTAGTATGAATAATACCAAAGGTTTTTTTTTTTTTGTTTTTTTTTTTAAGAAAAGAAAGTAATAAGTGTTTAGGCTAATATATATATTTTTTTTTAATTTTTAAAGGAAGAAAAATTAAAGTAAAAAGCATATTTTGGGACAAGTGTAACGTGTTAATTATTTAACTAAAGAGAATGGTTATTAAGCTTTTAACATTTGCACTTACTCTAAAGAAGTATTAATGCAGGGTTGTGAGACATTCCAACCCTGCCTAACAAATAATAAAATATTTGGGAGAGAGAGAAAGGAAGAGAGAAAAAAAAATGATGTGGGTGTAGGGTTTTAGGTAATCTTAGCGGAATTTCATGAATCTCATTCATACGCATCTAAACAGGATCTCATGCATATACAAATAAAGGATCACATAATAGTTTAAAATTAACCTTTGATGCGTGAATTCCCAAGCTTTCTTCTACCTTCTTGCGGAGATTAGAGCCCCATTTGTTGCTCCTCTAATATTGGTCCACAAGCGTAGATCAAACCTCCACCAATGCTAGTTGGACGGGAGAGAATTAATCTCCTCTTCTATGGAGAACTTCTAACCAGTTGTAGAGAGAGAGGAAGGGAAAAATATTACGTTGTTTCTTTTGGAGAGATGAACGTCTGTTCTATTTTTCCCAAAGCCCTTTATTATATATATTCTTATTATCTAATTAAGGCAAGACTTATTCCTATCTTACTCCTTATGGCCAGTCATTCACTAAGCCCAACTTTTGGACTCGGTATTCATGTTCGACCTAACACTGTAACGTGTGACCTCATAGGATCCATTTAGTTGGCATTGGTTTAACCCAATGATCAATATTGGTCTCTAGCAAGACGTAAAGACGACCCAACTAAACGAATTTATTATCTCCATAATACGATCCATATTATATTAGTAATTGCACGAGAGTCGAGGACACATTTCCTACAGTGGGCCCCACAGCTGTTTTTTAAGATTTGCATTCACGTGCTAATACTGAGAGTATACTCTCTCCCTTTTTTTTATAATATGGAGTTGGGATTTTCCACTATTTATATGTCATCTTGAATTAATATTTTTACTAGTATATAATATATGAATATAATTACATAATATGTTGTTGGATTTGTATAATATCTACTTTTATGAATTTATTTTATCATAATTTTTACTAATTTTTAATTAAAGATACTGATGGTGAAAGTTGTCTCGGCCATTGTGTAAATCCAATTCTAGTTTTGTTTTTTCTTCAAAAAAAAAAAAAAAAAAAAAAAATCAAACAGAGGAAGTATTTTGTAGCAATGAAGTTCCAACATAAGTTTTATTAATGTACTACTATTCCACCAATAGTAGAAATTGTACCACTAAGAGCGATTTTATACCACTAAACCTCTAATGGTTATTATTTCATCACACAATGATAATACTCTAAAGTCTAAATTCATAGGGTGAATGTCACTTTCTGTCCTTGTGTGAACGCCTCCACTAACTCTAAAGAATTTTTCATCGACCGTACGATTAGGCTATAAATCTTAATCTATGACAAGACTGAAAAAACCTATTATACATAATAACCAACTTCAATTTTTTTTATTGGGAGAATGGAGGTACAATTGTACCTCTATGTAGGTATCCCTAGATCCTGCCACTATAAATGGGGTTATAATTAAAATTAGAATCTTGTCTAAATTATTTGCTGCTCTCCCTACACCAAAAAATATAGATATATCTAAGAAATAAAAAAAAGTTAAAAATAAAAAATAAATTAAAGTTAACAACTAATAATCAATTTTTTATAACCTTGTCTTAAATTTCTTCTTTGCGACCCAACCTAATTAACATTACATCATCTAAATGTAATAGTAAAATTTATAATAATGGGGCAAAGGGAATACTATATTGTATGACATTTAACTAAGAGTGTGTTAACAATTAAAAATAATATATTGTTTAGTTTTGTTTATTCTTATGTCTTTTGTTTCGTCTTTGTAACAGATACACCAACGTGTGCCGCTCTACATTGGAAGTGAGGACGAAGTAGAGAAATTAGAGAAGTATTTAGCATAAAAATTCCATTAATAAGCAAAAAAGTTAGACTTTATTTGTCTATAAAATGTTATGCTCCTAATCATTTTTCTTAAGAATTGGCTATTTATGGTTTATATATTGTAAGGGCCAGAAACTAATTCCCTTATGGCCTATTTTGTATGGAACATTTCATTGGAAATGCTGAAATTGACCCAATTGCCTTGTTTGGATATGCTTGTAATATGAAAATTGGATTTGGCCCAATTCCAAGGTTTTGAAGACATAAGTTTATTTTGATAAAATTGAAATTCCAACTATAAGCCATCAATTCAAATTCCAACATTAAATAAAATACTCAACTCTACTGCCGAATTTCCTATTTTCATGCTTTCTCTCATCCATTAAAATGTACTCTCGTGTGAGATTTTTCTTTCATTGCAACCCTTTTTGAAGGATTTATGTTTTCGTCGTGTGCAATTAATAGATATATAAATGGATCAAATTATGGAGATAATTAAGTTCGGACATTTGGGTCGTCGTTTATCATAGCTAGAGATATTAACGATATTTGGACTAGTAAAATAGCTCAAAGCCCAATTGAACAGATCTTATAAGGTCACACAAAGGGTCTAGATCGGGCACGAGAGGACGAGGTTCATGATGGGCCTCATCCCCTAGTATGGCCGACCATGAGGAGAAAGATTGAGGGTTTTGGGCTTCCTAACCCTAGTCTAATTATAATGTGATTATAAATACACTAGGTAAAGGATTTATGTCTTCGTCACGTGCAATTACTAGATATATAAGTGGATCAAATTATGGAGATAATTAAGTTCGTACATTTGGATCGTCGTTTAATCATACCTAGAGGTACTAACGATCTTTGGGTTAGTAAAATAGCCCAAATTAAAGCCTAATTGGACGGATCCTATAAGTAAAGGGTCTAGATCGGGCACGAGAAGACAAGGCCCATGATGGGCCTCATCACCTAGTATGGTCGGCCATATGGAGTGGATTGAAGGGTTTTGGGCTTCCTAACCCTAGTCTAATTATAATGTGATTATAAATAGACTAATTGTAATGTGATTATAAATAGACTAGATGCCTAGGGTTTTGCCATAAGTTGAATTCAGTTAATCAGTGTGATCAAATCCTAATTAGCAAACACGAGACCAACCCCTCTCAAACACTCCTTTCTCTCACGGCACTCTATCTCCTCCTCGGCGCCAGTGTGGTGGTTTGTGGTGGTGGTGGTTCGTGGTGGTCGGCTTAGTCCATTAAAGGTGGTGATCACGGTTTTCCTCAATCACTCAACAAATCTAGTATTGGTGGACGGCTCGTTCGAAGCTCGTGGATTAAGTAGAGGAGCAACGCTTGGGGCTCTATTCTCTACCTACTTTGTCAATCAAATTGCTACGTGGAATTCATGCTTCAAAGGTATGATTATGTGTCTTGTGTGCTATGCATGTGATCTCGGGAATAAGCACTTGATTGAATGAGATTCATGATTTTCCGCTGCGTAGTACCTATAAACTCCTATAGTGGTATCAGTTAGCCTTTTGCATGAACGCGCTTGATCCTACAAATACGATTAATTTGAAGTCCATGTTAATTTTATAATCAATTAAGAGAGAGAATTAATTTAATTATGGTTCAATTATTATTTTAATGTGATTAAACTTTTGGAATTGATTAAATGTGATTTAATTATGCTCAAAATAGCCATGAAGAGGACCGAATTAAGCCCTAGAGTATTCAAAATTTTCGAGCCCTAGAACCCTAGTTTCGATTTTTTCGAAAAACCCTAACCCTAAATTTTGAATTATTTCGAAAATTCATAGCCTAAAATATGATTTTTGTGCTTGATTTCGATTTAATTGGAATTATTTTACGTTCAATAATTTTAATCAAATTGATTTTACATAAAATTATTTTGTGTATGATAATCGATTTAATTTTAAGATTTAGAATTAAATTGGGATTAATTGTATGATGAACCCTAATTTCAAAATTGAATGTTGATTTAATTTTAATTTTTGGACTGATTTGATTTAATTTTAATAACAGTTATTTTAATTAAATTGAAAAAAAAAATATATTGTTTTGTTGGTCGGTAGCCGCAGATGGGTGGCACAGCCACGTCGGCTGCCAACCTGATGGTCAGTCTAGATAGAAGGCAGGAGGTCCGAGGTGGCTGTGGGCAGCAGCGTGCAAGCGTTGCACGACTGCTGCCGTGGCTACTAGTGCTGCTGCCACGCTGCTGCCTTGCGGCAGTGGCTGCTATTGGAAGCCAACCACTGTGGCTAGCTTCGGCTAGCCAACCACGGTGGACGGGGATGGTGGCTGGAAATTTTTCAAAAATAAAATTCTTATTTTGAAAATTATTTCAAGACAAATTAAATATGATTTATTTTGGGATAAAGTAAATTTTTTTGAAAAATAAAATTGGTTTTATTTTAGATAAAATCTTTTATTTTAGGATAAAATCAAATATTCAAAAGTTGTTATATTTGATATTATCCATATTTAAAGTTGTTAAATTGGTAATTATCCATAATTAAAGCGGTTAATTTCTGATAAGATTGATTAGGATATTTTGAGCATATTCCAAAAGGATAATAATTGATTTAAATAATGTGATTATCCTATAATTAGATTAGGATATAATTAATTTTAAAATTATTTGATTGGTGTTGAGGGTAAAAATACCCCGTATACGTGGACCAATCCCACAGTGACACGTGGCCCAATTATGGGATGACACGTGTCACCACGGGAAGATGCCACGCAATCCAGAGTTTTTAAGGTCTCAGGCCAATCCCATGGTGACACGTGGCCCAGCCATAGGGCGACACGTGTACCAAGGGAAGATGCTTCTAAAAAACAGCACGCCAAAAAGCCCTAACAACGTCAGGGCCCAAATTCTGAGAGATGACACTGAAAGGCGCAAAACGGCGCCCCCAGAGGGGCACGTGGCGATCGCTGATTGCGCAGCCAATCACGTCACGCAAATCTAGGGTATAAACCCTAGAGAGGCACGAATCCCACCCCTATAAATACCCCAATCATTTATGATGAGGGGGGGATTTTCGGACAATTAAAAACACAGAGCATTAAATAGCTCCAACTTCTCTCTACTTTCTCTCTCTAGCCCTTTTTCCGTTCTGATCACTGACTTGATCGTCGGAGGCGAATATTCCGTTGAACGGAATATTCGTGGTTTTGCAGGTGGGACCAACGTATTGCCAGCAAAGCGTGACCAGTATCCCAGGAGACCCAAAAAAGACCCGAAACATTTGGCGCCGTCTGTGGGGATACTCGTACGTTATGGCGATAGACGGTCAAACACCTAATCCAGGCGAGGATGGACATGTAGAGGATATACGATCCGTACTAGTGATCCTCTAATAGCCACATTTGAAGAAGCTGATGATCCTCCTGTTACTGCAGCCTCTCTTAAGGCCGCACTTAACAAACTCAGAAAAGAAATTGAAAACGGAGCCTCTACCTCTAGGCAGCCGCCCAAGAGAGAGGAACAGAGGGCTCCAAGAAAGACACACAGCAAAACAGTCCATGCAACGGATGCCAGAAACACTCCATTTCGAAGGCCGACTGGAAGGTCCCCGAGAGTACCGCGGATTAATTTCTCTGACTTGTTGGCGAAAACGCAGTCGGCTGGGGGGAGGGGTAGGCAGCCTCGTAGAGAAGAGCCTGAACCGTCTAGACGATGGAAGGACGCAAGAGATTATCTTAGGCATAAGCAGCGGGAACGCGTTGCCCACTCGGACACGGCTTCAACCCCAACTATGCCGGATGATTTTTCACATCATTCTCTCTCCCAACATACCAACACGGCCACCTCCAGTGGAAGTCAGGCAATTCGCACCCCAGCTCCTATTCCAGTCTTCCATGCTCCAACTCCTGTTCAGGCCAAATCACTGCAATATCAACCTCAGGGGTTCAATGGCTTGATGCAGCCAAACCCCCAGGCATTCGTACATATGGGCCATATGGGCAGGTGTACGGACAAGCTCCCTATCTGACTGGACCGTCCCTGCAACCGCAACCCATTGATTGGCAGATGCGCCTACTTTCTCTGAGAGATAAGCCGCCCCCGTTTTCGCAAGATATCCTAAATGCCCCTCAGCCATCAAAAGTGAAGAGTGTACTTGTGGGAGCCTATGATGGCACGGGCAACCCAGAGGAGCACATCACCTCGTACAGGAACCTGATGTACTTGCAAAGTGTAGATGATGCTACGTGGTGCAAATATTTCCCGGCCACTCTGAAGGGTGTGGCACAGGACTGGTTCAATAGTTTGCCGGCCGGTTGTATCAATTGTTTTTTCACTCTTAGTTTGCTGTTCGTGGGAAATTTTTCATACAACATACCACCTCGAAAGACTAGCCTTAACTTGGCGACAATCGTCCACGAAAAAAATGAGGGCTTACGCTCGTACGTCCAACGATTTAACCAAGAAAAAGCCCAAATTCATAATCTACCGGATGAAATGGCTTACTCTGAATTTCTCCGGGGATTAAGGCACAATGGTTTTAAATTTGACTTGGTAAGGAAAAAGATTCGGACTTACGCATGTGTTCTGCGGGAAGCCGAAGCTTATATTGAGGCGGCGAACTTTTGTTCGCTCACAAAAGCAGAAGCGCCGGCCAAGGGGGCTGAGAAAAAATCTTCTCAGCAAGACTCGGCCGGCCAAAAGAAAGAAGGAAAAAAGAGAAAAGAAGTCTGGGTGGCTGATGGCCAGCCGCAGAAAACCAAGAAGGTCAAGGCGTACGAGCCCCAGTTTGAATTCAACAAGGATTGTTATTCTATTCTGATGGAAATCAAGGATAAGTTTGAGTTTGAGAAGCCACAGCCACTGAGAGGCCCGGCTCAGTACAGGAACAAGAATAAGTATTGTCATTACCACAAGGACGTGGGACATGACACAAATGATTGTATCAACTTGAAGAGACTGCTGGACAAATTGGCCGAGAAGGGCATGCTGAATTCATATGTGATGAAGTCCAAATTAACTTACACACGGACAAACAACACGTTCGAGCAAAGACAGAAGAATGATAAGAACAAAGATAAAGAGGATGATGGCAACAACACTGATTCGGGCTTTGTGGCCGTGATATCAGGAGGATTTGCCTAAGGCGGTTCCACTATGAGAGGGATCAGGCAGGATGCTCGGAACTTGGGAAAGGTGATGCAGATGGATTCAGTAAAGGCTGAACCCTTCCCCGAGGTAATTATCAGTG